TGCATTCATAGCCTCTCGAAACAGTGATACTGGCAGGGAAGGTGATTGCTGCTTGCATGGCTCTGAGGGCCTACTGGGCAGAGAAAATGACCTGTGCTGTGGGTCCCGAGCAGCAGCAGGGCCAGCAGGAGGCTGGGGAGGCGGATTTGTTTCCTGTGTCCAAGAATGCAGACTGCCTGATGGGGTGGCTGCAAATGAGCTCTTGCTTTGCACGCCTGCCACCCATGTGCCTTGAGGTCCAGCGCTGTGCTGACTGTCTGTCTGTCCCTCCTCTCTGTCTATCCCCAGTGCTGCTGGGGGTGGGGAGAGAAGTGCTGGGAAAAGAGGAAGGAAGATCCACTCCAGCCAGAGGTCAACAGAGAAGCAGGAGGAAGAGGGAAGGAGGGAGGGCTGGGCTTTCCAGAGGCCTCTCAGGTGAGGGTGCTGGGATTCCCTCCAGTGCCTGAGTTCGTGGGTTCTGAGAAAGAGGATGCTCCCCGGGTTGGGGGTGGGCTGCCTGAATTGGACCTTTTGGACAGATAGGGCAGAAATCAGGGCCCCAAACAAACTCCATCTTGAGAGCCAACCCTGGCCTGGGGGCCGGGAGCCTCGGATTCCAGCTTCTTCTCTGTTCTGTTTTTGGGCAAACTCCTTCCTGCTGTAGGCCTCAGTCTCCTGATCAGTTGAATAGAGGTTTGGGCTCAATGACTTGAGGCACCCCCTACAGAAAGGCAGGAAGCCCCGGCTTAGAGGAGGGCTGGGAAGGGCACTGGAGGTTGGGTCAGGAAGGGTCCTGGTGGTGCCAGGGCCTAGAGCTTAGTTCCTCAGCCACCCCTCCCCGTCCAGTTTCTCCTCTGCCCACCGCACAGACCACAGCCTTCTCTTCTCCTTTTCTATATTCAGATATCCCAGAGTTCTGAGGAAGGCCCGGCCTGGTGCCTAGGAACTCTGAGCTGCTGAAGGAGGCAACTCTAGCGGGAGGGATTGCAGTTGGAGCTACAGCAGGTCATGGGCTTGGGAAGAGACAGCGGGGCCGCAGGAGGGGCCATCCCGAGTGCTGTGGAAGTGGTGAGGAGTCTTTTACTTGCTCCATCCTGCCTCTGGCCCAGCATCCACCCCAGCACTGGTTACTTCTGGAGTCTGGACTACCCAGGAGGCTGGTAGTCAGGGGGCAGCCGGGGGTGGGAAGTGGGTGTCGTGGTGGTGGGCAGGAAGAAATGCAGTCCTGGCCTTGTCTGAGGGGAAAGTCATGGAGGCTGTGCCTTGCTAGCTGTGGGCGCCTGATGGCCAAGCATGCGATGGCTGGATTCTAGGTTCAGTCTAGAACTAGAACTTGAACTGAATTTGGTAGAGTTAAACTGAGTTGGGTTGTGTTGGGATAGGTTTGTTGGGTTGTGTTGATTGGAGTTGAGTTTGACTGACTTGGGTAAGGTTTGATTTGGGTGGGCTGAGTGGAAGTAAATTGAGCTGAGTTGGCTTGGGTTGAATTTAGGATAGTTGAGTCTTAAAACCCCAGCCCCTGTCCCTCACAAGCAGCCACTCTGTGGTGGGAAGCCAAACCCCTGCTCCCTCGTCTCCCTGGGCCTATGAGGACTTCCCCCTGGTGCCCTGAGAACGGTGCCTGGGGTCCCAACCCCAAGAGGTGGAAGGGCTGGGGTCGGTAGGTGCTGGATGACTCTCACCAAAGGGACACCCAGAGTGCTTCTTGTCTCCCCTCCCCACAACCCTCCAGAGAATACATTTTCCTATGAGAGAGGTAGAGAGAAAGGCACAGAGACAGAGATGGAAATGGAGGAAAAAGAGAGCCAGCGAGGCCCTGCTCCGAGCCAGTGACGGCATAGTGATGGTGCTTCTGTTCATAAAGACGGCTTCTGGTGACAGACACTGTTGTTTTACCACCCACCTCTCAGCCTGATGCTCAAATCTCCTTACTCTGGGTTCAAACTCTGGGCTCTCCAGCCTCAGGAGGGCCTCATTCAGATTCCACTAACTCCGTATGACCTGGAGCAAGCCCCCTCCAGTCTCTGGATCTCTGTTTCCCCATCACTAAAATGAGAAGATTGGCCTCAGTTTCTGTCCAGCTCTATTGTGTCTAATGCTAATTTCCTGGCTGGGGCAGTAGCTTTAACTCCTGGTTCTCAGGCAGCCAGCGCTGACCTGTGGCTCCCCTGGTGGGGAAAGGGTGGAGCGGTTGAAGGGACAGAGGCATCTCTGTTCAGGAGGAACAATTCCCAGCCAAAGCTTAGAACATGAAGCAGCCTGTGCCAGAAACAGAGGCAGAGAGGGAAGAGTCAACGAGAGCAAGACAGCAATACAGAGATACTGAGAGGAGGAGAGTCCAAGAAAGCCACACACAGGCAGAGCAGAGATGAGAGATCGGGAGAGAGCGCACAAAGCTGATAAACGCAGGCAAAGGAGGACTGGGCCATAAAAAAGAGGGAAGACAGGCTGGGTATGATGGCTCACGCCTGTAATTCCAGCACTTTGGAAGCCCGAGGCGGGTGGATCACGAGGTCAGGAGTTCAAGACCACCCTGGCCAAGATGGCGAAATCCTGTCTCTACTAAAAATACAAAACTTAGCCAGGAGCAGTGGCAGGCACCTGTAATCCCAGCTACTCGGGAGGCTGAGGCAGATAATTGCTTGAACCCAGGAGGCAGAGGTTGCAGTGAGCTGAGATGGCACCATTACACTCCAGCCTGGGTGACAGAGTAAGACTCCATCTCAAAAAAAAAAAAAAAAAAAAGAGGGAAGACAGAGCCAGGTGGGTGGAGCAGCGAGGTCAGGGACAGAGTTTCTGCTCCCTGGAGGTCAACTCAGACTCTGCATCTCCCTGCAAGGTGTTCAGTCTGGTTGTCCCTCTTCTGCTCATCAAATTCCTTTGGGAATTCTCTCTGCCTCTCAATCTAAATCTCCTCCAGACCTCACTTCCCTGGGGGTGGTGTGGACAGTGGTGAAAACCCCCACAGGCCTGAGGCTTCGTGGCCTTGGGGCTTCATTCAAGGGTAGCAGTAAATGGCAAAGTCAGGGACGAATAATAATTAATCTGTATGGGGGTGTGGTTAGAATTGGGAGAAGAACAAAAAGAGGCAAAGTCCAAAGAAAAATCTTCGCTTCATTCTGTTTTTTTTTTTTTTAGGCAGAGCTTTGCTCTTGTTGCTCAGGCTGGAGTGCAATGATGTGATCTCAGCTCACTACAACCTCCACCTCCTGGATTCACGTGATTCTTCTGCCTCAGCCTCCCGAGTAGCTGGGATTACAGGCATGTGCCACCATGCCTGGCTTATTTTTGTATTTTTTAGTAGAGATGGGGTTTTTCCATGTTTGCCAGCCTGGTCTTGAACTCCCAACCACAGGTGATCTGCCTGACTCGGCCTCCCAAAGTTCTGGGATTACAGGCGTGAGTCGCTGTGCCCAGCCCCCTTCATTCTTTAGATCGAGCATTAACTCTGTGTTCCACCTCCCCACCAGATATCCTGTCATTTATGGATAGGCATTACTCTGGGTCATTTAGGGAATTGACAGGATATCTGGTGGGGAGGTGGGAGGAAGATATTTATTGTTAGAAGGAAGGAGGAGATACAAAGGGAGAACTGAGCTGGGCAGGGATGACTTTATTTGAGTTAAATTATGTTGAAGGGAATTGGTTTTGTTTGTGTAGAGTACAGAGGAGTAGAGTTGCATTGTTGTGTCATGTCAGGAAGGACTGGATCAAATTTAGTTGAGTTGAATGAATGGAATTTGATTTGGAATTGGTTGAGTGGAGATGAGTTGATTTGACTTGAACTGAATTTAGTAGAGTTAAACTGAGTTGAGATGTGTTGGGATGGGCTAGGAAGAGTTGACTGGAGTTCAGTTTGATTGACTTGGGTAAGATTTGATTTGGGTGGGTTGAGTGGAAGTAAATTGAACTGGGTTGGCTTGAATTGAATTTAGGATGCAGTGCATTGAGTCGAGTTGAATTAGGTTAGGTTGGTTGGGATAAGAAAGTTAAAAGACTCCTGGGAGACAGATCCAGGGGAATTGTGCCTCAGGAAGAGGGTGTGAGCAAGGAGAGACCTGGTGAGAGGAGGTGTCCATGGCCAAGATCTAAGTAGACTGTGAGTCTGAGATGATTTGGCATATAAATGATTTATCTCAGTGTTTCTCCATTTTCTTTTGCATTCTCCATTCTCATTGGTAATGGAGGCTCATGATGGTATGAGAAGAAAGGAGTGTCAGAATCTCATTGCAGGTGTATGTGTCCTGGTGTGTGTGTGTGTGTGTGTGTGTGTGTGTGTGTAATTTGAAAAAAATACCCAAAGGTGGTTCTTTTTTTGGTTGTTCCTTTTTTCATTTTTAAAATTAATTTATTTTTAATTCACAAATAATAATCATGCATATTTATGGGGTACAGTGTGTATTAGTTTGTTTTCAGGCTGCTAATAAAGATGACATACTCAAGACTGGGTAATTTATAAAGGAAAGAGGTTTAACGGACACCCAGTTCCACCTGACTGGGGAGGCCTCACAATCATGGGGGAAGGCAAAGAAGAGGCAAAGGCACATCTTACATGGTGGCAGGCAAGAAAGCTTGTGCAGGAGAGCTCCCATTTATAAAACCATCAGATCTGTGAGGTTACCATGAGAACAGTATGGGGGAAACCACCCCCATGATTCAGTTTTCTCCACCTGGCCCTGCCTTTGACATGTGGGCATTATTACAGTTCAAGGGGAGATTTGGGTGGGGACAGAGCCAAACCATATCAAATGTGATTTTTTCTTTTTATTTTTTTTTTGAGACAAGATCTTGCTCTGTTGCCCATGCTGGAGTGCAGTGGCATGACTGCAGCTCATAGCAGCCTTAATCTCCTGGACTCAAGAATCTTCCCATCTCAGCCTCCTGAGTAGAACTGTAAGCACATGCCACCATGCTTGGCTAATTTTCTTTTTATTTTACTTATTTATTTTTTTCCTGCCCAGGTTTATTTGTACAAACAGCATGGGAGGACCCTGGCCCCATGCAGATGGCAGCCCTGGGGGTCACACCAGTCCTTCTGTCCTCACGTTGGCAGACTGAGATCTCCACTCTGAAGCCTTTGTAGGGGCCTGGGCACCTTTGGGAGCCTGAGCTGGAACTGAAGCCAGAGCTGCTGCCTGGGCCTTGGTTTCATGCTCGGCCTTGGCCTTTGTCCAGCAGAGCCTGAGCCCCTTGGCAATGCGGGCACGAGCGTGCTTCCCAAGCTTGGGGTGGGCAATGTAGACAAGTTGATCGAGCTTGCAGCTGACACCCTTTGGGATCTTGGGCTTAACCTCTTTGGGCTTTACGAGGGCCTCGATCACCTTGGCACCTGCACTCCTGGCCTTGGCATTGCTGGCCTGCATCTTCTTTAGGCCCTTCTTGTTGTTCTTCTTGGCAAAACACATGTTCCTCAGGAACTTGGGGTCCACCCCCTTAAGAGATTCGTATCATTGTGATCGGGGTTTCTTAATACCATTTCTATGCCATTTTCGGGACTGGTTGTGTGTGGTGTGGTTCTTGGACTTGCCCATGTCTGCACCTAAGCCGTGGCTCCTGAAGCACCTAGAACTGGAAGAGAAAGAACTCTTTTTATTTTTGTAAGAGACAGGGTTTCACTGTGTTGCCCAGCTGGTCACAAACTCCTAAGCTCAGATGATTTGCCCACCTCGGCCTCCCAAAGTGCTGGAATTTACAGGTGTGAGCTGCTGCTCTTGGCTAATGTGATATTTTGATCTGTGTATTTGTTGTGGAAAGATTCAATTAAGCAAATTAACAAATCCTTCACCTCACCGACTTATAATTTTTTTTTATGGTGACGGTGTTAACAATCTTTTCTTTTAGCAGTTTTGAAATATATAGTACATTATTATTAATTGTGGTCACCATGCAGTGTAATAGGTCACTAAAGCTTCTTCTTCCTAACTGAAACTTTGCATCCATTCATCAACATCTCTCCTTTCCCCATGTCTCCTCTCCCAGCCTCTGGTAATCACTTTGCTATTCCTGGCTTCCATGAGGGTGACTTTGTAAGATTCCACATGTAAGTGAGATCATACAGTACTTGTCTTTCTGTGCCTGGCTTATTTCACATAGCATAATGTCCTTCAGTTCTGTGCATGTTGTCAATGTTGCCATCTTTTTAAAGACTGTGTAGTATTCCAGTGCATCTACATACCACGTTTTCTTTATCCATGTATCTGTTGATGGATGCTTCCATACCTCGGCTATTGGGAATAATGCTGAAACAAACCCAGGAGTGCAGATATCCCTTTGACACACCCCAAAGGTGATTCCCAAATGCCTCCCAGGCTATATGTTCCAGTGGAGAATCAATATCCCACAGAATCTTCACTCCTGCAGAGAAGTTCTGTTTGGATGAATCCCTGGAATTTTTTTTTTTTTTTTTGGTGTTGAGTCTCACCAAGGTTGGAGTGCAGTGTCATGATCTTGGCTCACTGCGACCTCTGTCTCCTGGGTTCAAGCAGTTCTCCTGCCTCAGCCTCCCAGGTAGCTGGGATTACAGGCACATGCTGCATTACCTGGCTAATTTTAATTTTTGTATTTTGGTAGAGATGATGTTTCACTTTTTTGCCCAGGCTGGTTTTGAACTCCTGAGCTCAGGTAATCTGCCCGCCTTCAGCCTCCCAAAGTGCTGGGATTACAGGTGTGAGCTACCGCACCTGGCCAGAAAATTTTTCATGGAGAATGAAAGGAGAACATAAAGGTCAGGAAGTCTCCCCTCTCAGAATCTTAACCCAACTCTTAGGTAGCAGCCTTTGAAGAAAATAAAATGTCATATTTATTGAGCACCTAATATGTGCTAAGTATTTTTGCTTCCATTGTTGTATTAAATGTTCACAAAATACTTCCATTTTATAGTAGGGGAACTGTGGCCCAAGGAATTGAAGCAACAAGGCCAAGGTCACACAGCCAGTGTGATGTAAACCCAGGTCAGTGTGTCCCTTCAGACAAGAAAGTGACAGAAAACCACAGATGGTTTGAGTGGCAGCAACCAAAGGATGGGAGGGAAGGTGAGTGGGGCGCTGGGGACTGAGGTGAGAGTCGGAGGAGACTGGGGTGCGGACAAGTGGGCTGAATGGTCTGTCAGAGAAGAGGTGATGTCCTTTGCAGGGACATGGATGAACCTGGAGACCGTCATTCTCAGCAAACTGACACAAAAACAGAAAATCAAACACCACATGTTCTCACTCATAGGCAGGTGATGAACAATGAGAACACATGGACACAGGGAGGGGAGCACTACACACTGGGGTCTGTTGGGGGGAAATAGGGGAGGGACAGCGGGGGGATGGGGAGTTGGGGAGAGATAGCATGGGGAGAAATGCTAGATATAGGTGAAGGGGAGGAAGGCAGCACATCATACTGCCACGTGTGTACCTATGCAACAATCTTGCACATTCTTCACATGTACCCCAAAACCTAAAATGCAATTAAAAAAAAAAGAAGAGGCGAGGATAAGGGAGAGGGCAGCCTAGAGATGCGTTGCAGGGAAACTTGTCATGGAACTCGTGGACCCAGTGAGGTGGCAACAGGCCAGGTGCTGGTTTGTGGACCTTCAGCACTTCAGAATTGAGATCCTCCTAAGAATCTGGGCAGGTGAGTCCCTGAGAGGAGGTTCCCAGCGCATTGCTGTCTCCTCCATCTTCGTTTTTCCTGAGGCTCACCCCATCATTTCGGAGCTCCTTGAGAGTGGAGGACTCCAGGCAGGGGCCTGTCTGGGGTTGGCCAGGATGCCAGATGCCATATTCTGAGTATCTGCAGGATGGATACAGTGAACCTGAAGGGCTCCCAGAGCAGTGAGGTCACTCCTGTGTGCTGGGTGCCGGGTGCCCTGAGGAGGCTCCCAGTTTCTGTCCTGAGGGTGTCCTGGGAGAGGGGCTCAGGTTTGGGGTCTCTAGGGTGCTCACAGAGCTAGTGCTCCTCTCCTCAGGAGTGGCTGGCTGTGGGCAGGCAGCTGCACATCCTGCTCACCACCCTGTTCTTTCTTCTGGGCCTGTGGTCCTGGCTGGGTGGCTGGGCCTCCTCCTTCCCCAATGCCTTGGTGACTCATATACCCGCACCCACCACAACACACCACACTTACCCCACATAACCGCTGGGCAGCCCCACGAGAGAGCCCCAGGGTGGACGGAGGGCCTGTCAAGCTGCTCTGAGGGGCTGGGATCAGCTCCTTCATTCACTTGTTCATTCTTGGCTTAAAATGTGTATATTTGTGGGGACAGCACACATAGAGCCTGAAATGTTGGAACTGCAGTAGAACAAACAGAAAACTCGAGCCAAGTTGCCTCATCGCTCTTTGCCTGAGTTTTCTCATCTGTAAAATGACCATAATGCTTTCTTGCATTATGATGATGGAGAGGATCAACCCAAGATAACAAAAGCCAAAATATGTGTGAACTGTAGTGAGAGTTTATAGTTTACTAACATATAAATAGTCACTCATTCATTCGTCCATTTAACAAAGACTGATGGAATCCTTATTAAGCACCCGGCAGAGTCCTAAGCCTTTTACCGGCATTAACTCATTTGATCCTCCTAACAACCCTATGAGGATGGTGCTAGGATTGCCCCCATTTTATAGACGAGAAAACCAAGGCACAGGGGGGTTAAGTAACTTGCTCAATGCCACCTAGTTAATAAATGGTACAGCTGAGATTCACACCTAGTTCTTTTTTGATTGACTGGAGTATTTCATTCATTCATTTAGCAAACATTTATTAAATACTTTTTCTCTTTCTTTTTAGTCTTGTTTTGTCACCTAGGCTGGAGGACAGTGGCACGATCTTGGTTCACCACAGCCTCCAACTCCCGGGATCAAGCGATTCTCCTGCCTCAGCCTCCCTAATAGCTGGGACTACAGGCATGTGCTACCACCACACCTGGCTAGTTTTTGTATTTTTAGTAGAGACGGGGTTTTATCATGTTGGCCAGGCTGGTCTTGAACTCCTGGACTCAAGTGATCCTCCCCACTCAGCCTCCCAAATTGTTGGGATTACAGGCGTGAGCCAATAATATATCTGGCCAAATGCTTTCTCTGTGCGTGTCCCTGGGCCAACAGAAAGGAACCAGAGTTTGTGAGGGTGGCTGAGGTTGTCTTCCAGGGGCGGAGGTTGGATATATGGGGTGCAGGAAGGGTTGCAGTTTTTGGTTGTTGCCGTGCCTAAGCTTGCTGTTAGCCAGCTAAGATTTCTGCCCTGTGCAATACAGTCCTACACACATTGTCAACAGCACCCCATTGAGAAAACATTCGAGAAAAGAGCACAGGCTTTGGAGTCATCCCAGCCCTACCATTCCAAGACTTGGACAAGTCACTTTATGTCTCTTAGCCTCAGTTCCCACCTCTGAAGAACATGATTGGAGACATTATGTATGTGAAGTAACAGAAGTATCTGACCATGCCTTGGTTGCTCGATAAAAATGAAGGTCTTTTCCTGCTCAAGCAAATGCCAGGAAGTATGGAGAAGAAGCAGTTTTGGCTTCTAGCATCCTTGCAATCCCCTCTCCTTCTCTCTTGAGAGGTCTGTAGCAAGCTGGGCTCTGGACATGCAAGAGTGCTCTCACCACACGGCCCTTCCTCTTGTCTCCATCCGGGCCCAGGGCCCAAGACCAGCAAGACTCCTACCAGCTCCAAGGCTCCAGGCAAAAGCCACTTCCCCTGTTGGAGCCCTGGCCTCTTTGTCTGCCAAATGGAGAAACGCAGTGCTGGTGGCCACCAGTTGTTCCTGCCTGTCCTGCACCCCTTCCCTCTTATTTGGGTGACTGCATCCAGTTTTCTTTTTCTTTTCTTTTTTTTTTAAATTGAGATGGAGTCTCACTCCGTTGTACAGATTAGAGTGCAGTGGCACGATCTGGGCTCACTGCAATCTCCACCTCCCAGGTTCAAGCAATTATCCTGCCTCAGTCTCCCAAGCAGCTGGGACTATAGGTGCACGCCACCCCGCCCAGCTAAGTTTTGTATTTTTAGTAGAAATGGGGTTTCACCATGTTGGTCAGGCTGGTCTTGAACTCCTGACCTTGTGATCCACCCACTTCAGCCTCCCAAAGTGCTGGGATTACAAGTGTCAGCCACCACACCTGGCCAACTGCACCCAGTTTTCTATTGGGGAACATCCTGCTCCCACTCTCAGTCACCTGGGCACATGGTCTGGGACTGGCCAGTCAGCATCCGGACATTCCATCTTCCTGGTTACAGCCATTGGTTCAGGGATAGGTATGTGAGCTAAGCTGGGGCAATCACAAGTGTCCCGGGAACTCTGGTACCAAGAAAAAGGTCAAGAAGGAGGCATTCTCTTCTCATATGGGACTGAGGCATGAGAGCGGCGTTAAGTCTGGAGCTGCCTGAGACCTCTGTAACGTCACTTGGGAAACACCTGCCTGAGGATGAAGCCAACAAGAGGAAAAGAGAGAGGAAAAGGAAAAGGAGGTGAGAGGGAGAAGAGAGGGAGGTGGAGAGAGAGGAGCAGGGGTGGGTAGGAGAGAGAGAGAACCCAGTATGATTTCTGGATACAGCCTTGCCTGTCCTTGGATTTTCAGCTTGAGAGAAAGTAGCTCCCT